ATTGGCTTCCAAAGTGACTATTTTGCTTTCCCATCAGAAACGAATAAGGATTTCCTCACTATCTTTTGGTGTTGTCAGTGTTTTGGATTTTGGCCAGTCTAGTAGGTATGTAGTGGTATCTTGTTATTTTAATGTGAGATTTCCTAGTGACATATAATGCTGAACATTTATAGTAATGTTTTTAATATCTTAGACCAAATATTTCTTTTCAATTCTGTCAGATCCAGCACTCTCTCTTTTTATAAAGCATGATAATGCCCTTTTACTGAACCAACAAAATGCAAAGAACCTTACGTTCTTTCTGCTACTGTATCGATTCATCTGCTGTGTGAGAACCAAAATCTTGTCTATCTTATTCTTCATAGTATTTCTCAAACCAGTACAGTGCCTGGTGCATAGTACTCACTCACTACTTATTTACAAAATAGAGTGAGTTGAATGGTGGCCTCTAAAAAGATATGTTCACATCCTAATCCCTAGAAACATTGCCTTTAAAAAAAAAAAAAGCACCTTGCAGATGTAATTAAGGATCTTCAATAAGATCATCCTGGGTTAACCAGGCAGGCCAATCCAGTGACAATGGTTCTCATAAGAACAGGGCAGAGGGAAAATTAGGACAGAAGAGGAGGTAGCAATATGTCCACAGAGGCAGAGACTGAAGTGATGTGGCCGTGCATCAAGGAGTTCCTATAGTCACCAAAACCTGGAAGAGGCAAAGGAAGGACTCTGCCCCAGGGCCTCCAGGGTAAGTGTGGCCGTACTATAGCCTCCAAGCCCTAGGCAGCCAGTAATCTACTTTCCATCTCTGTGGAGTTACCTATTCTCAACATTTGCATAATGCAATAATACAGTATTTGGCTTTTTTTTGTGTCTGGATTTCTAAACTTCCCATAATAACCCCTTCTCTTGTATTCTAAATATGTTATAATACTCATTTTACATTCTTGAAATAAGATTCATAGATAATATATGCTGTTTATCTATCTATCTATCTATCTATCTATCTATCTATACAATTTTTTTGAGGTAGTAGGGATTGAATCCAGGTTTTTTCCACTGAGCTACATCCCTGCCCCTTTTCAATTTTTTTAAAATTTCAAGGTAGGGTTTCCCTAAATCACCAGGATGCCCGATTTATTGAGGTATGGTATATATATTATACAATTAACCCTCTTTATATAACTCAATAACTTGTCGTGAATTCATGAAGTTTGGCACATATTTAAAATGCACAATTTGGCATATTTTGACTTGTGTACCTATCCTGAAAACATTACTGTGATCAAGATGATACTGCCATGTGTTCTCATGCTCATTTGTGATTTCTTCTCCCTTCCCTAGCAACCACTGGTTTGCTTTCTGTCACCACATAGTAATTTACATTTTCAAGATTTGTATATAAATAGAATCATTTGATATGGGCTGTTTGTCTTTGTCTTTTGTTTTAATCTGGTTTCTACACTTAACACAATTATTTTGAGATTCATCTATGTTGTAAACCTATATAATAGTTCCTTCTTTTTTGTTCCTGAGTAGTACTCAAATGTATGATTGTATCACAATCTGTTCCTCTGCTCACCTATTGGGCTGTTTCCAGTTTGGGGCAATTACAAAGAGGCTGTTATGAATGTTCATGTCCAAGCCTTTGTGTGACATGTGCTTTCATTCCCTGTGGACACATATGGAGGAATGGAGTGACTGGATCCTACCATACAAGTATTTTTAAGGAAACTGCTAAGATGTTTCCCAGAGCGGTTGTACTGTTTTGTGTTTCTTCCAGGACTGTAGGAGACATCCAGGGACTCCACGCCCTCACCACCACCTGATGTGGTCAGACTTCCTCATCTTCACCATCCTAAGAGATGTGTGATGCTATGCCTCAGTTTCAGCTCCAGCAGTTCTCACTTCCTTCCTAGTTTTAGCTTCAATACACAGCCCCCGCTATCACTTCTCCAAGCTAACACTGGCGTTATTCTTGCAACATGGGTGCTTCTCATCTTTGTGAAACCATCAACCCTTAATGCTCAGCCCCAGGGTTCCCAGCCTTCCATGTTAAACCACAGTCTTTCTCTACAAAAACATACTCCTAAGTAGTATGTTAGTCAGCTTGCATTACTGTAACAAAATACTTCAGAGAATCAACTTGAAAAGAGGAAAGTTTATTTTGACTCACAGTTCTGGAGGGTTCAGGCCATGGTCGATTGGCCCTGTTGCTTTTGAGCCTGTGGTGACACAGTACATGGTGTTGAGAGCCTACGGTAGAGGAAGCTACTCATCTTACAGTGTCTGGGAAACAAAGAGAGAAAGAAGGGGCCAGGATCCCAATATCCTCCCCAAGGGAGCCCCCCACCAACTTCCTTCCACTAGGTCCCATTTCCTAATGGGTCTTCCACTTCCCATTAGTGCCAGGGGTTGGCACTCAAGCATTCAATATATGAGCCTTTGGAATTCAAGATCCATGGAATTCTGTGGACATTTTTTCCCAAAGTTTTCCTCTTTTTTTTTTTTTTTTAAGATGAAATGCTCTGTTTGTGTGGCTGTTCCCCCTTCTCAAGCACAGAAACCAAACACGGGGCATAGCACAGTCCATGTACCCTGATGTACCCTGTCCTGAGTGGTAATGGCAGAGACAGGACTCAGCATTCTCGGAGAGGTGTTTTTCCCCAGGACTCGAAAATTATAGCTCTGTTTTCTCTTACTTAAAGAGGGCTATTGGCATAATAATTGTTATTAGAAATTTAATAACCAGAAACACCGTAACTGTGACAATATTTTTAAGTGAAATGAACAATTGTTCCAATTCTTTAAAACATCCTTCAAACACAAAAGGAGAAATAAAAATGAAGTCAAAGAAACTCATGAAAGTTCGACCCAATCAGTCTTCACTTAAGACTGACTTTATGTCTGTGAGGTTTTACGTACGTTAGAGTGAACTAGAATTCGTCATTGTGTCTGGGGTATTTTGTCCATGTTGGCGTAGAGGAACGGGCAGAGCTGAGAAATATATTTGGAGCCTAGCCTCTTGGGAGTCAGTGGTATCCCTGCCTCTTTCAGCTCCCCGGATAATAGTGCTGGATGTGGTTTTTCACATTCAAAGGAGGGAAGTGCAAACCCAGTGGAGCTGGCCTGCAGGAGACCAGCCCCTGGTAATAAGGGGATGGTAAAGAGGCTGAACCGCAGCGATGACATCCGAGTCATTGTCGCGGAGGCTTTACAGCCTGTGGATTTGGCCTGCTGTGCGCAGGCAGAGGCGGCTGGTTTTTAGCCCAGGCCAAAGAGGCGGCAGGACACAAAAACCCTGGCAGCGCCTTCCAGGGGGAACCCCGCCTGCGCGCTGGAATTAACTGGGGAGTTGAAAGGAAGCCCCGGGATGTGGGAATTCCTAAGGCAATCCGGCTGACTAATCCAAAAGATTTGGAAATGGTCCTGCATAGTGGGTTTTGTTCCAAAGCAAGGTAACTCCATCCATCACAAGCTAAATAAAGCCCTGGCGAGATCAATACAGCATGGTAAGAGGAGAAGGTTTATTAAAGCCACGACAAAGTGCCCCGCGCACGGCGCCTGCGAGTCGCGCTCACTTCCTCCCGTGCACGGGCAGCACCTGGGATTTGGGGCCGCGCGGACGGTGGGGCGAGAGGAAGTGCGGGGAGCGGGAGGACCACAGCGTGTTCTGTGCGGACACGAAATCGCCAAAAGGAAACCCACTCTCTGTGTAACTGATGTGCGCTGGTAACAACTAAACAACTAAAAGAGCCCCCCGACGGTAGTGCGCCGAATTGCAAAGGTACCTGTAGAAAGAAGTCGCTCTTCTCCCGTTCGTCACAGGTCCTGAAAAGGTCCTGGCAAGCTTTTTGACAAAGTACGCGAGTCTGTTGTTAATCATCTCATTCATTTTTGGAGAGTATGAACGTCACTTTTTTTTTTTTTTTTGTACCGGGGATCGAACTCAGGTCCTTGAGCTTGCGCAGCAGGCGGCGAAACCACTGAGCTAGATCCCCGGCCCCGTCACATCTTGATTTATATCTGGGGTGGTGGTGGAGAGAATGGTGGAAATTTGTTTTTTCACTCATGGCCTCATAGAAAAATTATTTGAACAAACTCCAGATGAAGTTGCCTTTATTCTCGGTCTGAAAGTGCCCGTGCCAGGTATTTTATGGACTCTTGATTTCCGAGGGAAGTTAAACTCAGTCCAGTATGTTGCCTTCCTGCATCACAAGTCACTGTGGCATTCAAAAAATATGTAACTAATTGTTGCAATGAGAACAGTCACCTTCAAGGTTTGAGGTAGAAGACAGGGCTGCCTGGCTGGAGTCCTCCTGTCTTTAGTCTAGCACTGTCCTGGGCCTTTAGTCGAGTCCCATTGGAGAGGGTGGCACCGGGTGACTACAGGTGATACTGGATTAGGTGGGCCAGTGTCCATGAAGTTCTTAGAACAGTACTTGACAAGGATGTGAGCTATGTGAGTGTTTGCTAAGTACACGATTACAATAGATCCCATTGTCCAATTCTGGTTGCTCAGTTGTTCTGTGGAATCCAGAAAGCTTGCAGTCTTTTCTTATTTTCCTTTCCTGTCCCTTCCTTTTCCCCTCTCTCCCTCCCTCCCTTTCTTTCATTCTTTCTTCTTTTCTTTTCTCTCCACTGCTGTGGCTTGAACCCAGAACCTTCACACTGTGTTACATCTCTGGCCGTTTTAAATTTTTTCTTAATTTTGAGGCTGGGTCTCATGAAATAACTAAGTTGCCCAGGCCGGGCTTGAACTTTCCATTTTTCTGTCTCCCAGAGTGCTTGGGATTACAGGCGTGCTTCACCACATCCCGCTAGCCTGCTCTCTCTTTACCAACCAAGATACCACCCTACAAGATTTTCCCAATAAGCAGCTGGTCAGAGAGAAAGAAGTCTTCCACTAACAAACTGGGAACCCCCAAATAAATATGTAATATTTTAAGATTCACTTATTTTCCTTATTTGGTTAGACTTACCTCAGTCCTTTGTTTTTGCAGCTGGTGATGTACGTTGGTCAGGTGGCCAAAGACATCTTGAAGTGGCCCCGTCCCTCCTCCCCTCCAGTTGTGAAACTGGAAAAGAGAGTAATGGCAGAGTTTGGAATGCCCTCCACCCATGCCATGGCGGCCACCGCCATTTCCTTTACGCTGCTGATCTCCACCAAGGACAGATACCAGGTAAGGCAGCGACCCTTCTTCCAAGGGATCCACCATTCAGTACAATGAGGCTGTGAGCAGAGGTGCAACTGAGATTCCTCTTAAAGCAGCTTTGAGGGACTTTGAAGCTCATGCTAAGGTAAGGACTAAGGGGAAACGAAACCTCTTGAACTGCCAATGACAATTTCCTCATGAAGAAAGTGACCGTGTAACTGAGCACTCAAGTAAGTCTGGGAGTGAACATGGGCACCATTAATAACCACACCAGGACAACCAGCGGAACACGGGCTGTCCACGTGACCAGCGTGTGACCCCCCCCACCCCCACCCCCGGGAAGCCCCTTTACCCTGAGCTGCTGCTGAGACAGGAATCTATGCTCACTCTGTTCACAGCAGACCAAAGGGTTTGTGATCCTGCAGGGCAGAGATGATTCCTCCAAATCCCTCTGCCAGACTCCCCAGGGCCAGGGGCAGAAAAGAGTCTGTGCCCCAAATTACCCTCCCAGGATGCCTCTGCCCTGCTTAGGGCTCAGCCGTCAGAAATGATGGCTTCAAATTGTTTCAGAACTGTCTAAATGACGGGAGATTAATGAATGCTGGAAATAGAACTTCACTTACTATCTGCTTAGCTGCCAATCATAACACAGCTTTTTAAAGTTATGATACTACTTCCATGAAGGTTTTTTTTTCTGGCTGTTTTCTTCTTTTGAGATATATTGCTTTGATTTTGTGCTTAATTTCATTTATTTTGCCTTTTAGCTGCTGGAAGTTTTACATATCCCTAAATCCAGCAGTCTTATAGGTGGATGGAGGTATTGTTTTGCCCTTCCCTTTTACCCAGGAATCAGGGAGTCTGTATTCTGCGCTGGGCAGAGGTGGGCCTGAGCCTGGGGTGGTGGGAAGAGGTCAGAGTAGTGCTGGGCCCCTCTTCTCCCTCTTAGGGTTCCACCTGGCCACCTGGGTGTGACCGCCATTCTCTCATGGGACAGGGACTCTTACACGGAATACATCCAGCCCTATATAATCATAATGAAGTCGGTGCCTTGCTAGGATTAAAAAGGGTCTGACCTCTCAGAATACCATCAGAATGTAACCACACTGCTGGGCTCTGTTGTACCCACTGTCGCCTGTCCCACCGTGACACAGTGGATTGAGCACCACCCTGGCTCCCAGTGTTGCTCTCTGTAACCAGAGAGGTCTGTGAGAGTGCTGTTACTCAGGGAGAAGAAGCAGGGAGGAGCAGCAGGCTGTAGGGACGGAATAATAACAACCACAGCGATGACAACAGCTGCCATTTAAACACTCATTTTTAAAATTAGCCTCTGTTTGTAGTACCTAATGTTTACATTCCTTGTGTGGAGTTGGTACATGTACGTAACGCATCTTGATCCCCTTCTTCATCTCCTTTCCCTCCTCTCCCTCCCCTTCCCTCTACTTCATGACCCCCTTCCCATTTGAGGAAGATCTGTCTCCCTACTTCCTATTATCTAAACCACTCAGTCCGCCTTAAAATATTCTTTTGGGCCACACGATGCACTGATTTTCGTAAGACCTGAGTTGTATTGTAAATTTCTTTTGTTTGATTTTTAATGGTAAATATAAGAGTCCACCAAAAAAATGTATACATCGGGAAACAACCCTGTATACATATTTTAATACTAAATTTATTGAGACATTAAGAGATTAATACAATACTTTTGACCTCTACCATTACAAATGGTGGCCATTAGCTTCCAGACATTTATTAGTATGGCAAACTGCTGAAGAGTGTATACCTTTCTTGGCAGATTCTATATTTAGCTATTTATGTTATTTTCTAATACACAGCTCTAAATATGTATTTATTTGAGCCAAATGCCCAAAATTTAACTTCAGAATATATTAAATCATTAATTTTTAGCACTTTTGATTAAAGTCTGAGATTCAGTCAATGACAAATCATAAGAGAAGCTGGGTATGGTGGCGCATGCCTGTAATCCTAGCTACTCAGGAGGCTGAGGCAGGAGGATCACAAGTTTGAGGCCAGCCTCGGCAATTTAGCAAGATCCTGTCTCAAAACTAAAAAAAAAAATCAAAAACAAAAAAACACTCTTAGAAAAGACATGCAACTGGATGTTATACTCACATCTTACCTTGGGTATACACTCACATATTACAACACACCAGGCTTAAAAACCATGGCTTCTGGTTCTAACTGTCACTCTCTGTGTAGCCAATCATTTCCCTCTCTGAGCCCTGGGTCCAGCTGTCAGGATCAAATGAAATGAGTGCGGAAAAAGCCGCTTGTGATAAAGTTCAATACTAATGTAATTTATATTGCGATTCGGAGAGCTGATAATAGAACATATTTCTTAGGATCATGTGAAGATTGAGTGACGGACAGAAAACAAAGTACTTTGCATGGTATAGACTGAGCTGTTTTCTGTGTTCTCGTCACTATGGAGGACCACAGAAGCAAGTGGATCATAGTAGCCTCAGAGCAGATAGACTGTACCTCCACATCATGTTTACAAGAAGAATTCAAGTGTTCCTTGTGTAGTTCAGCACTGGCCAGCATCCTCCAGCTGCTGTCTCTGCCCAGCAGCAAGTGTCGAGGTTCGCAGAGTCTGGACTACTGATTGGACATATGTGCCTCATTTTCCCTTCCAAGGGAGAGGTTATTTAGTGAGACTTTTAGACTTTAGTCCTGGCTGTCTACATGGCTTCTTGGTCAAAGTGTTTATTTTTCAAGTTCTAGCTAAAGAATAGATAAAAATAAGAATTGTTTACTGCAGCACAGCTGCCAGCACAGGAGTGGCGGGGAGTAGCCTTAAATCCAAGCTCTGCTTGTGGTTCGCCTGTTCACACACTGGAGAACTGCTGTTCATACAGCTGTGTTCCAAGACACCTTGACCTTCTCTTTCTTCTGTGCCCCCATGTTTAAAGTGCCTTCAGATAATGGGTTGCTGCTCAGGGAACAAAAGATGCAGACTAGGAATGAGAATGTAACGAAGCCTGTTCCCACCTCTGTGGCCCCATTATATTTGTCTGCACGCGTTCTAATTTCCTTATTGTCTCTTCTCCCCACAGTACCCTTTTGTTTTGGGGCTGACGATGGCCGTGGTGTCTTCCACCCTGGTGTGTCTCAGCAGGCTCTACACTGGGATGCACACGGTCCTGGTAAGGTGTGCGGGCCGGGCGTGGGGCGGTGACCGAGTAACTGTACTCATTGCGTATCTTCCTCATACTCCTGATTCATAGAATCATTTGCATAAGTAATTATATTTCTCCCCTGGTCAGGGGGTTCAGTGATTGCATCAGGGTGCAGCAGTAATGCACTATGAAGATAATATCAAGCAGGTAGCGCTAAGTAGAGCCTGAAGACTTTGCCGATGGCTGGAATGGCAGACGGGACCCAGGTCATTTCTTTCTGTGTCGGTTTACCTTGGAGGCAGCAAGCAGCGCAGAACACTCAGCATCAAGGATGTGAGTGAGGGGACACAGTTGTCACTGCGGTCCTCGTGAAGACAGGAGGGGATGCAGAGCTCTCCATGCCTGTGCAGGCCAAGCTCCGCCAGTCAGAGCAGCCCAGGCGCATGGCTCCCCTTCTCTCTGGAGGCGGTGGAGGGAACAGGGAGACATAGCTCTGTTTAAAGATCCTTCACTCGTTCTTTTCCTATCTTAGTTTTTTTCCAGGGCTGCTAAAGTGGCACAGTTAAAATTCCTTGAAAACCCAAATGTCTAGTGCATCACCCAGCTACAGGCAGCCCTCGAGCCCCACAGGGGCCCGCGCTGTCCACACACAAGAAAGAAACAGACCCTAGGCACTGAGTTCATTTTACTGCAGAGCTCCAGGATTCATGTTAGCCAAGGACCTGTGGGGAGGCCACCCCTCGGGACCTGCTCGTGTCGCTCCTCGGCGCCAAGTGTGGGTGACCATGGAAAGGTAGAAGGGTGGGTTACCGTGGGAAGATGCAAAGGACGTGCCAACTGCAACTGCAGTCGGAGCAGCCTCAGGTGACACAGGAAAGGCACTAAACCTAATGAATGCCCAAAACTGAGTAACTGAGATAAATAATTTTATACAACTTCTCCGTTTTTGTTAGTATATGTGATACACAATGATTGCATTCCTCTTGGGGAATTGGTACATACACATCTGCATCTTCATCATTTTTACTCTCCCTTCTCCTCTGCCCTCCTGTCTCCCCTCACCTCCAGATCCTCTCCGGGCTTTCTATCATCTGGCTCTTATTGTGCTCTTTAAATTATTTATCTTCTGGGTTTCTCATAAAAGATAAACCATGCAATGGTTGTGTGTCTGATTTATTTCACCTAATAGTATAGTCTCAAAGTGCATCCATTTTCTTATAAATCCAATTTCTCCTTCTTCATGGCTGAGTAGTACTCCATTGTATGTACATACCACATTTTCTTTTGACCATTAGAATACAAATTAAAGTTTGATCCCCAGTACCAAAAAAAAAAAAAAAAGAATGCAAATTAAAGCATTTTTAAAAAAATCAAAATTCCGGAAAATTTTATGATGAACAGAATAAAGACGAGATCTGACCCTGAATTTTCATAGCCTGACTCACCTAATCCAGGCCCCAGCTTAGGTACTATTTGGGTAAAAGGGGAGCCCGGATCTTAGAAATAGAAAAGGGGAATAAAGAGTCAGTTTTGTTGTTCTACATACCACGGTGTGTCCTTGCTGTCCACATTCCATTCCCTGGTGAGGAGGGCATTTGCAATTTGCTACTCACTGTGCCAGTTACAAAGAAGTTCTCTCCAAATACATCCATAGACTTCAATGTGGAATTTGATAGAAGTCTCTTGAGTGCTTTGGCATGTCTTTTATCTGGGGTTACTTTGTAATTTTTATAGTTTTTCATAAAAATGATCTTGGAAGCTCAGGTTAAAGTTAAAACCAAAGTAAACACAAGAATGTGGAGCTACAGAAGTGAATAAAGAGCACACAAAACCCACCTCAATTAAAAAATGGCTACATTTTTCTTTTTCTTTTTAAAGTGGGTTATGGATATGGAGAATCAGATATTTGTGGGAAGATAAAGTCTCTCATTTGGATGCAAGGAATCATTATAGCCTTTCTCTCTCTTTTTTCTGTTTTGTTTTGTTTGCTATTGGGAATTGAACCCAGGGCCTTCTCACTGAACTACAGCCTCAACTCTTTTTTTTAAATTTATTTATTTCTTGAGACAGGGTCTCACTATGTCAATAAATTGCAAAGGCTGGGCTGGAAGTTATGATCCTCCTGCCTCAGCCTCCCTGAGTGCAGATTACAGGCCCACCCCATTACCACGGAGTACAGCCACTCACTTTAGAGCATCTGTCCCAGAAGAAATTGGCACATAGCAACTTTTCCTCCCACCCCCCACCCCATCCCATTCTACAGTCAGGGCCCAGGGCTTCTTTCACACCCATGGTTTTCAGGATCTTTAAGGCCCCAGTGTGAGTCAGGCTACAGCCCCAGAGCATGGCTCAAGACACCTTGGTACATAATTTCTAGTAGCAGAAGGGAACGGTTGGTTTTAACAGTGAATGAGAGGTAAATTCTAGATTCATAGCCCTCTTTGTTTAACAACTTTGTCAACTCCTATGGGTGCTAGGTTTAGCACCAGATCTAGGAGACATGAAGTATCAGAGATCTCTGCAGCACGTTCTGATCTCCTGGTCAGTGCTACAGTGCAAAACTGAGAAAAAACCTAAAAGGCAGAACTAAAGAGACAGAGAAACATGGGAGCCAGGACGACCAATGCTGGTGCAACCAACAAAGGTGCCGGTCAGTCCACACCACTGATTTTTATTGGTAATCAAATTGGAGTAAAGGGGAGGATGTGTGAGGATGCAAAGTCATGCAGTTACTATGGATACCAATGCACGCAAGGCTTGTAAAGAAAAAGACAAAGCAAAAAAAAATTTAAAAAAAATAAATTAAAAAAAGAGAAAAAGACAAAGCATTCTTGAATTAGGAACAGAATAGACAAAATATGGGATTGTAGTTAGAACCTTGTTGTTCTAGTTAAGGTTTTAATTGCGGGAATGGAATTTGGGTGTGAGTTACTCTGATCTCAGCATGTAGGCTTCATCCAGGCTAGCTTCTCAAAACAAGCCAATTGTGGGGTTAACTCTTCACAGCCTGCACTGCTTACATCCTGCTTTGGGCATAATCAATATTGCAGTCCCCTGCATGGAAGCAGACTAACTTGCTCCGCCCTCCTGGGTCTCCCTCCTATGGGAGGAGGCAGATGTATTTGCTGCTGATAACCCATACAGTGAATGCCATAATCATAATGGAACAGCTGGGCTGAGCCAAATAAGGTAATGTGTCTCCTCCCCACATTCCTTGCAGGCTCCAGGGATTGCCAGGCATAGTGTTTCTGACTGCATATTAGATCCCATGGGAAGCTTTTAAAAATAGCTTGGGAGATTTTTGTATATCCATGTTCATAGCAGCATTATTCACATTACCTCAAAACCAGAAGCAGCCCAAGTCTTCATCAACAGATGAGTGGATAGACACAATGTAGTATGTGCACATGATGGAATATAATGCAGCCTTAAAAAGGAAGGAAATTATGATACCTGCTACAATATGGATGGACATCGAAGACATGTTAACAGAAATGAGCCAGTCACAAAGGGACAAACATTATATGACTCTATAGTCACATTAACAGGTGGTATATAATCCCAGCACTTGGTAAACTGAGGCAGAATAGCACATTCAACCACGGCCTGGACAACTTAGCAGATTGTCTGTGTCTCAAAATAAAAAATGAAAATGAAGAAGAGCTGGGGATATGGCTCAGTGCAAAGGTCCTGGGTTCAGTCCCTAATACTATAAAAAACTGTTGGGAGGAGTTAGAAAGTGGAATGGTAAATATGAGGGACTGTGGGAAGGAAGGAGAGGGGAGTTATTATTTAGTGGGTATCACATTTCAGGGTTGCAAGACGAAAAGAGATCTGGAGAGAGATGCTTCCACTCCCATGAGGAGCCTGGAGTAGTCACGCGGCAACCCCTGCCCAACCCTGAGACACTGCTTCCTCCCAGAGCCCCATACTGGAGTATGAAATGGTTCATGTGGTCAGTTTTATGTCATGTGTATTGTCTTACTTTCTTGTCACTGGGGTGTAAAACCCAACACCCACAGCTTGAAGGAGGAGAAATGTATTCTGGCTCGAATTTTAGAAGTTTCAGTCCTTGCCTGGTGGGAGGTGGAGGAAGGGCTTGGCCGGAGGGGAGCTGCTCACCTCATGGCAGCCTGGAAGCAGAGAAAAGGGAGGCACGGAGAAGGGCAATGAACGCTCTCGGGTCACGGCCACCAAGACCAGCCTCTTCTGACCTGACCCCACCTTCTCACGGCAAGGCAGCCAGAATGCCATCATATTCCGATCCCCTTCCAAATCACAACATATATTTTACTATCAATAAAGCATGTTCTTTATTGATAATAAAATACATATTTTTACATTTTGAACTTAGGCTCGGGAGGCAGGTCCCGCAATCTGGGACTTGTTTGCAGCTTCCTGGTTGATTTGACTGTCCAGGCAGGCCGAGCACCATTGGTGGGAGTAATGGCAGTAATCCTTTAGCCCAGGGCAGGGCCACGCACCCGAACAAAACCAGGTTGGAAGGTAGCGGGAAGGTGGCCTGTGGAGGCCCCCACGGTGTCTGTGTCAGGGACTCACTCAGCTGGAAGGCTTTACAGGAGCAGTTCTCAGGACAGAGGCAGGGAGACGATTCAGTGCAGAAGAGAACTTACCGTACTCAGAAGGACAATCCTCCTTGTCAGCTGAATCACCACCCTCACCAATGGCTGGCTCCATCTCAGGGAAGGACCTCTCTTCTCCCCACTGTGGAGGCCATGGAGGCAGCACCCCAGCCTGCCCTTCCTACACATGTCAGCCCGGAAGTCACCTCGTTGAGCTCACTCCAGCTCCCACGTGCAGCCCAACGCTCTTCTTACACCACGGCCAGGATATTATTTCCAAAGTGACCATGCTGCTCCATGGAGGACAAGCTTCTTTATCTTCTGCAGGATGTGGGGAATGGCGGAGCCCATCTGCACCTGACAGCCAGCCATTTGTGCCCTTCTGGGGAAGTGGCCTTTGAGAGAAGTCATCAGTATTACGTCAAAACATGGAGCTAAAGCACA